AAAGAAAATGGGAAGAGTTACGTGAAGACGTAAACAACGACCCTTGGGGACTTGGCTACAAGATCGTCATGCGAAAAATAGGTGCCTTGGCACCAGTTCCTGAATTGGAAGAAAATGTGATGGATAACATCGTAAATTCTCTTTTTCCGGATCATGAAATACGCAGAGACTGTGAAAGGGTACTCACCGATGATCCACCGCTTTTTACGGAAGAGGAACTTAAAACCGCAGCACGTTCTCTGAAGAATAGCAAAGCCCCAGGACCGGACGGTGTCCCATCTGAGGCGATTAAGCTGATAGCAGACGACCGCCCACAATCCCTGCTTGAAATGTTTAACTCTTGTCTGAAGGAAGGCATTTTTCCAGAGCCCTGGAAAAAGCAGCAACTAACCCTAATTAGCAAAGGAAAGGGCAACCCCGAGATGCCAAATGCATACCGACCACTTTGTATGCTCGACACATCAGGGAAACTGCTGGAACGACTACTAAAACCGCGTATAGCAGCATCCATTGAGAGCGCTGGGGGACTATCCAGCAGACAGCACGGTTTCCGGCCAGGAAAGTCCACCATTGGAGCTATCTCTGATGTGGCGGCAACCGTAGAAGCCGCACAATGTGGAAATGCTTACTCGAAGCGTATAGTACTTCTGGCGGCTCTAGACATTAGGAATGCGTTCAACAGCCTACAATGGACCGATGTGATCAACGCCCTTGAAGGACGCTTTAATACACCGATGTACTTGATGCGAATGATCCGCAGCTACCTTAGCGATAGAGAGCTTCTCTATCACACAAGCAGTGGTACAAAAACTAAGAAGATTACCTCCGGAGCAGCGCAGGGCTCCGTTCTTGGCCCTGATCTATGGAATGCGAGCTACGATGAAATATTCTCCATTGAAATGCCGGACAACGTACACCTAGTAGGCTTTGCCGATGATGTAGCCGCAGTCATCACAGCACGAAATGTAACCTGACGAAATCAGGTCATGCTACGCACGATGGAATGGATGGATGACCGCGGTCTAAAGCTAGCAACTGAGAAGACAGAACTCATTATATTAACGAAGCAGCAAATACCCTTGGAAATTGAAATGCGGGTATGGAACTCTACCATTAAAACGTCCAAGGAAATGAAATATCTGGGCATCCAGCTGGACTCCAGGATGTCGTTTTGGGCCCAGATAAAACATGCAGGTGAAAAGGCTTCAAAGGCCTCAGCGTCCTTAAGCAAGCTAATGGCAAACGTTGGCGGCCCAACAGAAGACAAGCGGAAACTGCTAATGACAGTTGTGAACGCGATTCTACTCTACGGTTCTGAAGTATGGTCTAATGCATTACAGATTAACCAGAAGCGAAATGCGCTCGAAAAAATCCAGAGAACAACGGCACTCAGGGTAGCATCTGCATACCGTACGGTTTCAGGTGCGGCGGTCCTTGTTATAAGCAGCTCAATACCCATCGACCTCATGGCCATGGAACGGAGGCAAGCATGGTTAAGCCGCCAAAGCAACGGAAACAGCAGCGTAGCCACAAATTATCGGGAACACACAATGATAGAGTGGCAAAGTCGGTGGACTAACGAAACTAGTGGTAGGTGGACTGCAAGACTCATCCCGGACTTAGTCGCCTGGACCACAAGGAAGTTCGGCGAGGTAAACTATTACCTGACACAATTCTTCTCCGGGCACGGGTACTTCGGCAAATATCTGTACCGGATGAATATTCGAGAGGAGCAGAGTTGCATTTATGGCGATGCTGATGTCGACGATGTAGAACACACGTTTTTTGAATGCAATCAATGGTTAATCGAGAGAACCAACCTGCAAGCACAGATAGGCGGCATTTGGACCCCGGAAAATGTAGTACCCTTACTACTAGCAAGTGAAAACAACTGGAACGTGGTGGCGAGGCACGTGGAGGCAGTACTTCGCGCAAAAAAGAGGCGCCTGGACGCAGGTACAACAGCAGCGACGTAAGATTATATCTTACAATCAGGATGTGCATGACCTGAAGCAATACCTAGTGGTGGTTCCGGGTCATGTGCTTCATCCTGGAAAGGGGAGTTTTTTAGCATGTCAGCGATTAGCGCGAACCGTGCACTACCCACAGAAAGACGTTTTCTGCGGGTGTGTGTAGACATTTTTTGTTCCCCAGCCTCGAAATACAAAAAAAAAAATTATATATTATTCTTTCATTTTTAATATTATTCTATTATTATTATTATTATTATTATTAATTATCTATTACTGTTATTATTTTGTCATTATTATTATTAGTCTATTATTATTATTATTATAATTATTACTATTTTTTATTATTCTATTGCTATTATAATCTTATTATATGTATTATAATTATAATTATTATATTTATTAGTTATTATTAATTAGTTATTATAATTATATAATATAATTATTATAATCTATTATTATTATTCTATCGTTATTATTATTCTATTATTATTATTATTCAATTACTATTATTATTCTATTATTTTTATTATTCTATTATTACTATTTTATAGTTATTATTATTATTCTATTATTATTATTATTCTATTGTTATTATTATTATTTTATTGTTTTTATTATTCTTTCACTATTATTATTATTCAATTATTATGATAATTCTTTTATTATTATTCTATTATTATTATTACTATTATTTTTAATATAATATACTATTATTATTAATCTATTATTGTTATTATCTTATCATTATTATTATTATTCAATTATTATTATTCCATTATTATTATCACAATTTTTTTATTATTCTATTGTTATTATAATCTTATTAAATATATTATAGTTATAATTTTTTTATTTATTAGTTATTATTAATTAGTTATTATAATTATATAATATAATTATTGTAATATATTATTAATATTATTTTTCTATTGTTATTATTATTCTGTTATTATTATTATTGTATTGTTATTATTATTTTATTTTTATTATTATTTCATTATTATTATAATTACTATTTTATTATTCTTCTACTATTATTACTAATATTCTCTTTTTATTATTATTATTCTATTATTATTATTATTATTCTATTATTATTATTATTATTCTTAATGTTCTTTTATTATTATTATTATTCCCTTATTATTTTTTTATTTTATTATTTTATTAATTATTATTATTTTATTTTATTATTATTATTATTATTATTATTATTATTATTATTATTATTATTATTATTATTATTATTATTATTATTATTATTATTATTATTATTCCCCCTGCGGGATAGGGGTTAGAATATTCCCGTGGTAAGGCATGCCTGTCGTACGAGGCGACTAAAATCCAGCCATCGAGGGACACCCAAGTGTGCAGAGAGTGACTGCAGCTGTGCACCACCGAGGGACACGGACGAGTGCACTGTTTTAAGAGAAGGCAGCTGCACCAACGATGGAGTTCCTTCACGTCCAACATAAACACTATGTTAAGATGATGGCAAAAAACGCATGCCGAAACAGGCAATGCACATCAGCTATGAATTCAGGGTTCATACACCCATGGCATACTGGAAATAAACAACGATAACGATGACTTTGGGCTGGCGGATGTGGTATTCTGTTACCTGAGTATATGAGAGTGACATCTCATAGAAATGGCTTTCAGGTTAATGCTGCATCTTCCTCCGTCCTTTTAAAACTTGGCAAGTCTCCAAGTACGTTCGATGTTTCGTCACCGTTAAGTTGGTGGTATAGGCTCAGTTGAGAGTACTCCTGACCTGCGCCAGATTCTGGCTCTGAACACAATCTCCCATAAGGAATTGTGTCAACCCTCGCATGGCCTCCCTGCTTCGCATAGATAACCATGGGGATCGTTACGAGCGACTATACAACCGAACATCGATAGCGGCTAGGAGTTTGGACCCAAAAATCATGACAAATGAAAAAACAAATACACAAAATCTAACGGAAGCGCCATCGCAAGATGGCCCAGGGAAGTCCGCATCGGACAGTGGCACGCCAAACGTGCCATCACAAATGAAGGAGGTTCCCGTCTCACCGAGCGATGAATACATCCAAACCCTGAGAAGGGAAGAGGAGCAGACACTAGGAAAGTGTATAGCCGCCTTAATGAAGATAAAAAATGGCATAATGCGGCAAAAAAATGTCTCGCTAGATATTAAAGATGGCGTAAACGAACTGCAAACGCACTTCGAAAACATGGGCTACTATAGCCGATGCTGGATCAAGGCAGTGGCGAAAAAAGCACGAAGAGAAGCAAATGTGGTAGACACACCAAACGTGCATAGACAAAAGCGCATGGCGACAAGTCCTGCTGCGCAAAACACAGGAAATGAGAGCGCCAAAAAGAGCAGACAAGATAAGCCTGAGGAATGGCAAACCGTAAATCGGAAGAAGCTCAAAACCCCCAAAAAAAGAGAAATAAATGGGACGCCCATAACTACGAAAAGACCAGACAAAATAAATGTCGGTACAAAGAAAGCTGAAAAGAAAACTAAGCCAGAAGCAAAGAGACCCAGGCCCAATAAGGACAGAGGCCCAAAGACGGAAGCAGTCCTCATAAAACCGACGGGAAGTCAAACTTATGCGGACATTTTAAAGAACCTCCGTTCGAATGTCAAGCCGGATGACTCGAAAGTCAAAATTCGAGCAGTCCGCAAGACAATGTCGGGAGCTCTGCTATTAGAGCTTGACAAGGGGACCAAGGCAAGCTTAGAGTTCTGCGATGAAATAAGGAGTGCTTTGCAAGAAACGGCGGAGGTAACTGGTCTGATACCGAAAACCACCATAGAGATAAGAGATCTCGATGCGCTTACTACAACGACGGAAGTCGAAGAAGCGGTTAAACGACTCCTTCCAAGCGGAAGCGATCAGTTGAAGGTGACCGTCACCAAACCAAATAACAAAGAACTGGTCAGAGCTTACGTGCAATTACCCACCGTAGCAGCTGATAAGCTTCTCGAGACAGGCTCGATCATTATTGGATGGATCAGAGCAAAAAAGCGGACGCGCACCGAAACAAAGCGTTGCTTCAGGTGCCTTGGTGTAGGACATGTACAGAGAAATTGCAAGGGTCCAGATAGAACAAACCTCTGCATCAAATGTGGCGCACCTGGACACAAACTAAAGGAGTGCACAAACTCTCCGAAGTGCTGCGTCTGTACTGACGCTGGCCTCAAAACCGTCGATCACATTGCTGCATCTGGCAAATGTGCATCGGTAAAGGCCCAAAGATGATGAGATTTTTGCAAGCAAATATGCACCGAAGCAGGACAGCAGACGCCCTTATATCACAACTCATACATGAGCGGAACGCGGATGTTGTCATAATTAGCGAACAATATGGAGAAATCAGTTGCGGTACCTTCTTGGCTGACTGCAGTGGAACTGCAGCCATCTGGCTGCCATGCGCCGAGAAATTCTCTTTCTCAGCCAGTGGTGCCGGAGACGGACACGTTTGGGTTCGAAATCGCAACTTTACCTTAATGAGCTGCTATCTTACACCGAGCGACAGTATTGGCCAATTCCAGATGAAACTGGACGCAATCGAAGATTGCGTCCTCCAAATGGGTGAAACTTTATTATAGCAGGCGACTTCAATTCGAAGGCCATTGAATGGGGCATGATGACCACAAATCCCAGAGGTAGGCGAGTGCTTGACATGGCGGCCAGATTGGGACTTGTAGTCGCTAACAGGGGGATGTCGCCCACCTTTCGCAGACCAGGATGCGAAGGCACTATTCCAGACATCACGTTAGTGTCGGAGAAGATAGCTGGTACGCTAAAGGAATGGTCAGTTCTCGAGGACTACACGGGGAGCGATCACCAATACATCTGGTTCACCGTCGAGCCAGGCAATAGGCCAAATGGAAACCCCGGAAGGAGGTCTACTCGCAAATGGTCCACGAATAAACTCAATAGGGATATCTTTCTCGAAGTGTTCGATGATAGGATGAATAGAAACACTGGAGGAGGAGATGCCAG